ATCTGTGAGTTAGCTGTGCTCTGACTTTGAACAGATCAGAGGTTGTTTCAGGGTTCCATCTGTGAGTTAGCCATGCCCTTACTTTGATCAGCCAAGAGGTTATTTCAGGGTTCGATCTGTGAGTTAGTCATGCCCTTACTTTGATCAGCCAAGAGGTTATTTCAGGGTTCCATCTGTGAGTTAGCCATGCCCTTACTTTGATCAGCACAGAGGTTGTTTCAGGATTCAATCTTTGAGTTAGTCGTGCCCTGACTTAGATCAGCCATAAGGTTGTTTCAGGGTTCAATCTGTGAGTTAGCCGTGCCCTTACTTTGATCAGCCAAAGAGGTTGTTTCAGGGTTCGATCTGTGAGTTAGCCGTGCCCTTACTTTGATCAGCCAAAGAGGTTGTTTCAGGGTTCAAAAAATGCATCTAGTGTCATAAGAAAGCAGTGTGAAACCAGTGTATGTTTTAAACAGATGATTGTATTTGGCAGATTCAAGATTAACTGACGGTGAAGTTAAGGTAGAATACTTCTTAAGGCTGCTTGCTTGCTTTGGTCCATTTGAACCTGGCAAAGATGGTTGTTTGGCAAAGGTAATTATCTGCTTAATATGCATTTCGAATTTTAACGTAAAATTCATTGGCATGATAAGGAAATTCCATATTGAATTTCACAAGAAAACCGATATCGCACGAGTGAAATTCTGTGGAATTCCCGAGTCAGACAATGAATTTGTACTTGAATCCCTTAGAGAAAAGGTTGAAAAAAGACTTATTTATACAAGTTTTCTGATTTACAGGTCAAAAAACAGCAGGGGCTTACTGTATTTTCATGCGATTCAGCTTTTCAAATTTCCTCAATTTTAATCTAGTTTCGGGAACATAATTGTTTATGTTATAAAGTAGCTGTCTTCCTTTGTTTCTTTTAAAGTAGTTTTCACGTTTATTTGGTGTTTTGATAAAAAAGAATGAACAAAAAGTAAGATTTAAATCAAAATTTAACCTGGGTTCCCAGATTTTTCATGCGATTCAACGTGAAATACCTGCTCGTATACGTCATTYCTAGCCAATTAGCGTGCGTATTTTGTGATCAGCTATGGGATTCTGGGCCAAATTCTTAGGGGAGGGAAACGAGGTATGTGGGGCTGGATAGTGCCAGGATCACTTAGACTCTTCCACAGTCTCTCGCTCGTCCGTTCCGTCTCCACGCTAAGTATAATTATACTTATCAAAAACAAATTTCTGCCATTGATAATGGTTTGTGATATACATATAGCCTAAAAAATAGAATTGATTGAATCTCTAAACTGTGAAAATGATTTTTCCAATCTAGATCCTGACCTAAATATTCTTCAAATAACTTCAAATCGACTCCGAGGTTGAAGAAGAATAAGGGTCTAATTGGCATTGCAGTGCATTTTGGGGCTCTTTTAGTGGACGAAATAAACGCCATCTTGGAAATATGTCTCCTCGAACAGCGCCACATTGCACTGCAATGCCAACTCGACCCAGTTTTTTCCCCAACTTTGGAATGGCCAATACTTCTAGTGATTGTTTGTAATAATCGCTTGATAAGTAAATTACTTTTCCAGACCTTGGACGTCTCGGTTCCTAGCTATACTCTCCCTGTGCCAGAATCCTTACTTTGTTTAAGAAACTCCTTGCCTAGTAAAGATTATATACCTCAACCGAGGTGGATATTAGATATATCAACCCTAGGCGACGCTGAGGTTGGATTTATCTCATATCCACCGAGGTATAAGCTTGAGATTTRAAACTGAAGACGCTGATACGTTGAATTTCCGATAATCGTACTAACCAGTAACTTGATAGCAGATTAACGTAACGTGATAGCAAGAGTAATGTAAGTAACTCGAGAGCAGCTTATAATTCAAATTTAACGTATTAGTGTAACGTACTCTCTTACCATTTACTAGGACGTGCGTTACACTGATACGTTACGTTAATCTGCTATCAAGTTACTGGTTAGTACGATTACCGGAAATTCAACGTATCGGCGTCTTGTTTCAAATCTCAAATGACACAGGAAACCCAATAAAGCACTTACTGATTTTTTTTTATTTATGAACAAATTCTAAACACAGGAAACCCAATAAAGCACTTATTGATTTTTTTTATTCATGTACAAATTCTAAAGCCGGGCTCCCTGTGGTATAAGGTATATAACCGCATTATCTATTACCAGGCATTCCTTTGTTCAATTAAGTTGGGTAAATATGAAGGATAAAGACGACCATTGAACAAAACTGACTCAATGATTATATAATTCATAGCGTGACTTTATTGTCTTTCTCCACAGATGTATGAGTTGATGAAAAAATCTTTATCAAAATCTATGAACGGGAATCAGTGGCACAGGTCAGGCTTGCCAATATAACATTTACAATTATATTTTAAATCACTCAATTTTTTACGGCGTCCCAGCTAAAGAGGTCTATTCATTAGTCTCGTCGATCTTCAGTTGGTTTGCAGGTTACATGTCCTCAGAAGAAACGCACGAACGCCTCTCAAAACAGACCCCTGGTTATTTCCTCATTCGCTTCAGCGGTTCAAGGGTTGACGATGGATGGTTTATCTTGGGGGTCAAGACAAAAGATGATGTGGTCCAGATTGAAATTAAGGTATGTATACTACACACTGTCAGTACCACACTCTCAGTTGATGTAACTTAGAGGGTGGCTATAACCGCCACCCGGTTAGCTCAGTTGGTTGGGCACCGGTCTGTTGTGCTGGAGGTTGTGGGCTCAAGCCTCCGCGCAGACAGATTAACACTCAGGGTTTGAAAATATCTGAGTAGAAGGTGTTACCACTGCTCTAAATATATCTACCAATGGTTTATAGACCTTCGCCGTGGCTCGAATGACCACGTAAATTATTAAATTTGAATCTAGGATGTTTGGTTTTATGCCTTTATGCAGGGAGAAAGTGATTATGATTTACGATTTATATAGCGCCCTTTCTATGTGGATAACCAAAGGCGCTTTACATTGAGTTGTGAATGACAGATTGCTTTTATACAATTTACAAGCATRAGATATGGTAAGTATGAGGTGTAGGCACTGAGGGTGTTCACTGTGCCAGGGTTTCTTTACGTCCTCAGTAGTTGGTTAGTAATGATGAGTGTGGAGAGACGGGATAGGACCGCCATTTGAAATGGTCATCCGAGCCACTTGAAAGTCTAACCATTTGTAGATGTAATTACAAAGGCAGCACAGCTGATTATATTAAGACCCTGAGTGTTGGTCCGGCTAGGACTCGAACCACGACCTCCCGCACGAAAGTCCGATGCTCAACCAACTGAGCCAACCGGTTGGCGGTTAAACTGGAATCCCTGGAGGAAAACCCTTGTATCATTAAATAGAGACCCAAAAAAACTCTACTTACATGTGATGCCGAGTCGGTCTAGGAATCGAACTTGAAGCCCTAGTGGTGAATATAAAGGGGAGACCCAAAAAAATCTACTTTATACGTCTTGCTCGTTTTCTGTTTTCAGAGGGATATCGATAACCGTCAGCACCTCCTTGCCGAAGAGACATTCCCAGACCTTGCTTCGATCGTTGAAAAGCTTCGAGGAGATATCTTCCTGCAAGAGTGTCGTCAGCTCTTAATCAACCCGTGTCCTGACCTTCCTCTGAATACCAACTTTATTGGTTATACTAAAGTATCGCGCAACCAAGGCCGTGGACGAGGCCGTGGACGAGGCCGTGGACGAGGCCGTGGACGAGGCCGTGGACGAGGCCGTGGACGAGGCCGTGGACGAGGTGGACCCAGGTGAAGCTCAAGTAACAGAAATGAAAAGAAAGTGGATGGGAAAATACTAAATTCGTAAAAATGCTTTTTTCTCAGTGTTCTCTTTCTCAATGTTTAAAATATTTTATAAGCCAAGAGAGAAAAATTGAAGGATATTGGATGGGAACAATGCGGAATTCGAAGTAAAAATTGCTTTTCTTCAGTTCTCTTTGTCAATATTTATCATATTTAGTGAGAAAAATGGAAGGATAGTAGATTGGAATAATGCTGAATGCGAAGTAAAAATTGCCTTTCTTCCTTTTTATTTTCAATTTTCAAACTTTATCGATTTCTTTTGCAAAAATAGACTTTTGTTGCAATGTCAATACTGTGATGATTCCAGTTTAAAAAATCTGTTTTGTCTTGATCACAAGAGGTTAACTGATCTCGAAGAAAAACTCCAGCGTTTACTTCTGGATAACTGTTCATCAGCATCGATGAACAATACCTTTCCTTAAGAGAAAATGTCTTGGAATTTTGAATAATAATTTCGACTAGGCTCAGCTCGTAAAGTTCGACGTTTGACCTAAGCCTTACTGACGTTCTCTATAGCACTCACGAATTCGTCAACCTTACAAAGTAGATTTTGGAAGACGTTCAACAAGGCGTGTACATGACGTTCCATAGGCACGTTCCCTTGAGAAAGTTGTTTTCTCACGATGTCATGGAAATACTTGGACTGACGTCAACCAAAACTCTGTTTTGTTACGACGGCAAATCGTGCGTTTTTGCACAAGAAATAATGATTCCAAAAGCCAAATTTTTCAAAGCGTTTTACAATTTTAATTTTAAGTTTTCATTTTGCTCTATCTATGTATGTACTTCCAGAAATAGTACAAAATAGTGCTAATTAAACAATAGAATATAATGGAATTTGCATGAAATTGTGCTATTTAGTATTACTAAAGTTTCACGGTTATATYGTTTGCACTCTAATGGTAATGGTAATGATAATAATAACAATAATAACAATCATCTTCATCTTTTTTTGTTAGAGTGGTTTTCATAAAGCCGTGAAATACACACAAGCCTAATACAAATTAGTAGACCCTAATTCCATTGTGTTCTTTTGTTGTCGTTTCACTATTGCACTCTAACTAAGGCCCCGTCCACACTAATGCCGGATAAATTTGAATTTGGATTTTTATTTATTCGGTTAGGCCTACCATCCACACTAGTCCGGGCGAATCCGGAACGATTCTTCACCGAAAACGAATTTTTTCGAATACGGTCTCCAGAGTGGAACAATTTGAAAACGCGGGCTACCGGTATTAGTGTGGACGGAGAACATTTCGTATCCGAAATTTTTCGAATACGATGACGTCATGATTGTCATGGGAACATGGCGGGAAGGCTAAAAATTCACCGCAGGCTCAATTTCAGCTTCGATGCACATGCTCGCAGATGTGCGATGAAGCGTTTTTGCCACCTCTGATCGGACTAGTGTGGACGCGAAACATTTTATCCGTTTTCATGTGTGGACGGACAACTTGTTTTTCGGTTTCGGTGTGAAAGTTGCGGATTCAAATTTATCCCGCATAATGTGGACGGGGCCTAATGGTATTTGTTTCACCGGTTTATGAAAACCACTCTAAGGATTATAGATATTATCATTTTACGACCGTTTTTATGAGTATAGTTGACAGCAAGCTTAATACTAACATTAACCTGGTTTCGTTTCTACTACTTCATTAACTTTTTTAACTTAACGATTTTACATAATAGGTAGATACAAAAAGCTATTTCATCGATTTATATTTTATTAAAATAGTAACATATGCATATATATATAACTATGTAATAGAAATAGTTTGACATTTTAGTCAGCGCGCGAAGTAGTGTCCAATAAATGCGCTAAAAAGGCAAATAGTGCACTATAATATTTGTCTATTGTTTTATCAGTGTCATTAAAGTAAAGTCATTTAACCCGTGAAATAGATATTAGACTAATACACTTTAGTAGACCTTAATTGTATTGCTTTCTTTTGTATCTGTTTGACTATTACACGTTGACTAATAATTTTTATTTCACGGGTTAAATGCCTTCACT